TTTTAAGTGAGCCAATGTATGAATAATTAAAGTAAGCCTTCCCTATTAAATAATGGGGTTTTTATGGTCCAAGAATGTGCCTTAATCCTTGTATCTCCTGAAATTCCTCATACAGAGAAAGTTTAGTAGAAGTTTGAATAGATCAAATGGACTAGACTTGAATGTACTTTATATGAGCCTAAAACTAGGGCCCAATTTTAGATATCCATTCTAGAAGTGAGTCAATGATCTTTGAGATTATGATTCTATAGAACCAAAACCTGGAGTATTAAAATATGTCACCAGAAACTTAAGATTTTCCCTAGCCAGTAATCTGCCTTGATTTATTACTCTTATTTCCTTGTTTTTTCTAAGGTAATCTCAAGCTTGTTCCACTTCTTTTTTCCCCCAACCTGGCTTTTCTTTTTGAGATAGGGTCTTACTCTGTCACCCAGGCTGGAGTACAGTGCCACAATCTTGGTGTGCACCACCACGTCCAGCTAATTTTGGTATTTTTTTTGTAGATGGGTTTTGTCATGTTGCACTGGCTGGTCTCTAACTCCTGGACTCAAGCAATCCACCCACCTTGATCTCCCAAAGTGCTGGGATTACAGGCATAAGCCACCACGCCCAGGTACCCTATTTTTAATGTACAGCTTGAACATACTCTTTGCTCACAGAATGGTACGCTCATTGAACCATGAGTAGGAAAGCAATGTGGTGCAGTAAGAAGCTTGGAACTTAAAGTCAGGAGACACTGGTTGTGTACCTGTATGTCACAACTTTCTGGTCATTTCATCTGCAATAGGAAAAATAATATCTTCTCTGTCCAATTTACTAAGTTTTTAAAGATGAAATGAATTGACATAGGTGAAAATGCTTTTGGAATTGTAACATACTACACAGAGATAGCAAACTTTCTCAAATTGATCTTCAGCACATGCTGTCATTTATTTAGTAACTCCCTAGCAAGCAAGTGATATCTGCAAAGAAGTAAGAGTGATCCAGTATATAGAGAGGTTATTTGCCTGGGAATAGGATGCATGTAATTAGATAAAAATGATGGTTTCATGTTCCAAAGACTTGAAGCAGCAGCTTCATATCAGATGCTACATACGATATCCGGGGTGATTCTGCCTGAGATGCCAAGTGTGCTATCAATCAAAAATTAAAAATGACTGATCTAAAACACAAATGATAAGGATATATTGATGGCTGATGACTGGAATAACAATGCTTCATTCTCCCAAAGGATCTGATAGACTCCAATTAATTTAGAAGCATAGGATGATATCAAATACAGATCTGTACCAAGCAACAATGTTCTGCTTTCAAATGGACAGCTATCAGTGAATATCTCAAATTGCAGACATTGATGAAAAAATATGGTTTGCCCATTTATTAGTTTTGGGAGATATTGTCCCTTTGCAGAAGTTAGTTATTAGTCTCCCATAAAAGGAAGGGTACTCAGTGTGGTCCTCCAAACAGCAGCATTGGCATGGTCCCAGAGCAGAATCTCAGGGTCACGCCAGACCTTTTTAATTAGAATCTGCATTTCAGTGCAATCTCCAGGTGACTGAGTGCATTTAAGTTTAAAGTGCACCACCATAGGGACCATCTATTCATTTTTCAAATGAAAAAACAAAAACTCAACCTTGAAGAGTGATTTTTTTTCCCCCCTTAAGGTCTGATACACTTGGATTAGAACAAAGTTTTCCTGCCTCTGCTGGCAGGTTCCAGCATTGCACACCCTCTCGCAGCCTGGTTCTTGGGCTTACTGGTTGGGAGGCTTGGGGCAAGTAATTGAACCTCTGAGCTGGTTTCTTCATCTATAAAATTGAGATAATAGCAATGTCTACCTTATACATCTGTGAGGATTAGGCCGGGTGTGGTGGCTCACACCCATAATCCCAGCACTTTGGGAGGCTGAGGCGGGCAGACCACTTAAGGTCAGGAGTTCGAGACCAGCCTGACTAACATAGTGAAACCCTGTCTACTAAAAACAAAAATTAGCTGGGCGTAGTGACAGGCCCCTGTAGTCTCAGTTATTAGGGAAGCTGAGGCATGAGAATAGCTTGAGCCAGGGAAATGGAGGTTGCAGTGAGCAGAGATCATGCCATTGCATTCCAGCCTGAGCAACAGAATGAGACTTGGTCTCAATATGGTCACCTACTGACCATGTATGTGTGTGTATACACACCCACACATCATAAAAAGCTTGGCCGGGCACGGTGGCTCATGCCTGTAATCCCAGTACTTTGGGAGGCCAAGGTGGGTGGATCATTTGAGGTCAGGAGTTCAAGACCAGCCTGGCCAACATAATGAAACCCCATCTCTTAAAAAAAAAAAAAAAAAAGTGTGAGGATTAGCTTTCATTAGATCATTTCTGAACACATTGTACAAAGTAAGGCACAATACACATGTAAAATTGTATTATTATCAAGTGAAAAGGTGGTGTTCCACATAATTCAAACAGTAGAATTTTTTAAATTTTGACTGCACACAGAAGCAGAGTTATTATCTCTGAAAACCTTTGTGCCTTGACAGTAGTGTTCAGAAAGCAGTTGTTTTCCTTTTAATCATTAGTATTTTCCAGTAAAGAAACTTTTTTTTTTTTTTTTTTTGAGACAGAGTTTCGCTCTTGTTACCCAGGCTGGAGTGCAATGGCGCGATCTCGGCTCACCACAACCTCCGCCTACTGGGTTCGGGCAATTCTCCTGCCTCAGCCTCCTGAGTACCTGCGATTACAGGCACGCACCACAGTGCCCAGCTAATTTTTGTATTTTAGTAGAGACGGGGTTTCACCATGTGGACCAGGACGGCGATCCACCCCCCTCGGCCTCCCAAAGTGCTGGGATTATAGGCGTGATCCACCGCGCCCGGCCCCCAGTAAAGAAACTTATATAAGAGCTGGACAGCAGAAGCACCCTGCTAGTCACTGTTATTTAATCACATGGTAGGTTAGGCTGACCTCTGTTTCTGAGTTTGGTGAATCGGGGCCAAACCAACATTTGGAATAGGCACACACATGTGTAATCGAAGAACCTGACTCACTGACCCACTTTCTTGGTTACCAAAGCAATGGGAGTTTGGATTATCTGGTTTTTAGCTCCACCTAGTGACCATATATATGGCTCAGTTTTCAGCTGTAAAATTATGAAGAATTCTGTTTTACGTTTAAACAAAAGTACATTCACCTTCTTGCTATTCTGGGGAAATGATTGCATATACATTTTTGATGTTTTTTGTTATACATGAAATGATAGGATTAGAATTCTTGGAGATGATCAAAAAGTTGGAGGACTTCCTATTTAGAACAGAAAGATTGGAGTCATCTTTGATGCTTCCCTCCATTTGCTATGTCCATTCTGTCATCAAGTTTAAAAAAAATTAATTTCTCAAAGTGTTATCCAGCAACATATACTAATTTAATGCTTCCTTTGGGATTGTCTGCTTAGTGAAGGAATATACTGGACATTACTCTAGATTCTAGGGATTCCAGGCCCTGTTCCTTTGCAGTGCCTTGGAGAAGAATGATTATAGGGATACCCAGAAAGAGAAGGCTTGAGCAACAGGGTTTCCAGTCCTATAGAACTTGCCTTTTCCCGCAGTGAGGCTGGTTGAGAAGCAGAAAAGAGCTTCTGGACCTAAGGGAGCCAGGTAAAAGATTAGCATAGCTGTGTGACTGGATGGTCAGCGATAATAGGCAAACTTTCCCTTTACCCGCTTCTTGGAAATGTGTCATCTGAGCTCCCAGAACCAATATATAACTCTAGGGATGGGGTAGGGCAGGAAGCCCCAAGGATGCTAGAACTGAGGGCTTGGCACAGTGGCTCATATCTGTAATCCTAGCACTTTGGATGCCGAGGTGGGAGGGTCATCTGAGGTCAGGAGTTTGAGTCTAGCCTGGCCAACATGGAAAAACCCCACTGCTAATAAAAATACAAAAATTATCCAGGCATGGTGTTGTGTACCTGTAATCCCAGCCAGTCAGGAAGCTGAGACATGAGAATTGCTTGAACCTGGAAAGCAGAAGTCACAGTGAACTGAGATCGTGCCACTGTACTCCAACCTGGGCAACAGAGTGGAAAAAAAAAAAAAGCCAAAACTGAAATTCCCTCCCTGTTTAGCAAGAAGGGGAGTCAGATTCAAGATGAAGTTGATTTATAGAAAATAAAGAGATGCTCTCTAGGATGAGAAGAAAATTTAAAAAAAGAAAGAGATGCAATATTTTTGCACACAGGTTCGTGGCTGGAGAATCAGATCTTTTTTTTTTTTTAATTTTTTATTGCATTTTAGGTTTTGGGGTACATGAGCAGAGCATGCAAGACAGTTGCGTAGGTACACATATGGCAGTGTGTTTTGCTTCCTTTCTCCCCTTCACCCACATTTGGCATTTCTCCCCAGGCTATCCCTCCCCACCTCCCCCTCCCACTGGCCCTCCCCTTTGCCCCCCAATAGACCCCAGTGTTTAGTACTCCCCTCCCTATGTCCATGTGTTCTCATTTTTCATCACCTGCCTATGAGTGAGAATATGTGGTGTTTCATTTTCTGTTCTTGTGTCAGTTTGCTGAGGATGATGTTCTCCAGATTCATCCATGTCCCTACAAACGACACAAACTCATCATTTCTGATTGCTGGAGAATCAGATCTTGATGTGCAGACATGAATTTGGGCATTTAGAAGTCACTGATTAGTGAGGGAATGTCTGCAGGCTCTGAGGTCACAAGATTTGAAAGCATGCTATGGAAAAATTTAAACTCCTTGGCACCTCAACAACATGCTAGCAAACTGAATCCAACAACGCATCAAAGAGGTAATTCACCATGATCAAGGGTTTCATTCCAGGGATACAGAGATTGTTCAACATATGGAAGTCAATAAATGTGATGCACCACATAAACAGAATTAAAATCAAAAACAATATGATCATCTCGATAGGCACAGAAAATGCATTAGATAAAATCCAGCATCACTTTATAATATAAACTTTCAACAAATTAGGCGTAAAAGGAACCTACCTCAAAATAATAAAGGCCTGGGCATGCCTGTAATTCCAGCACTTTAGGAGGCCAAGGCAGAAGGATTGCTTGAAGCCAGGAGTTCCAGACCAGCTGGGCAACAAACTGAGACCCTATCTCTACAAAAACAAATAATTAAATACATTTTAAAAATATAAAAGCCATATATGAAAAACCCAGAGCCAACATTATACTGAATGAGGAAAAGCTGAAAACATCCCCTTTGAGGACTGGAACAAGACAAGAGTGCTCACTTTCCCCACTTCTACTCAATATAGTACTGAAAGTCCTAGCCAGAGCAATCGGGAAAGACAAAGAAATAAAGGTCATTCAATTGGAAGAGAGAAAGCCGAACTATCTCTGTCAGTGATATAGAAAACTCTATAAAGACTCCTCCAAAAGACTTTTAGATTAAAAATGGATTCAGTGAAGTCTTCGGTTACAAAATCAATGTATACAAATCAGTAGCACTGCTATTCACCAACAAGGACCAAGATGAGAATCAAATAAAGAACTCAGTCTTTTTTATAATACCTGCAAAAAGTAATATTAAAATAGGACTATATGTAACCAAGGAGGCAAAAGATCTCTGTGAGAACTATAAAACATTCCCGAAAGAAATAATAGATGACACAAACAAATTGAAATATATCTCATGCTCATGTATTGGAAGAATCAATATTATGAAAAAGACCATTCTGTGCAAATGACCCTATAGATTCAATGTAATGCCTATCAAACCAACATCAGTTTTTACAGAATTAGAAAAAATAATCCTAAAATTCATATGGAATCAAAAAGAGTCCAAATAGCCAAAGCAATGCTAAGCAAAAAGGACAAACCTGGAGGCATCACGTTACCTGACTTCAAATTATACTATAAGACTACAGTAACCAAAATGGCAAACTACTGGTATAAAGTAGATACACAGACCAATCAAACAGAATAGAGATCCCAGAAATAAAGCCAAATACAACCAACTGACCTTTGACAAAGCATACAAAAACATATGTTGGGGAAACAACACTCTATTCAATAAATGGTGTTGGGAAAACTGGATAGCTACATGAAGAAGAATGAAACTGGATCCCTATCTCTCATCCTATATTAAAATCAACTCAAGATGAATTCAAGACTTAAATCTAAGACCTACAACCATAAAAATTCTAGAAGAAAATCTAGGAAAAACTCTTCTAGACATTGGCCTATACTAAGAATTTATGACTAAAACCGCAAAACAAAATGTAATAAAAATAAATAAATGGGACCTAATTAAATTTAAAAGTTTCTACACAGCCAAAGTAATAAACATCAGAATAAACAGACAACCCACAGAGTGGGAGAAAATATTTGCAAGCTATGCATCTGACAAAGGACTAATATCCAGAATCTATAAGGAACTCAAACAAATCAGCAAGGAAACAAAAACCAATAATCCCATCAAAAAGTGGGCAAATGGCTGGGTTCAGTGGCTCACATCTGTAATCCCAGCAGTTAAGGAGACTGAGACAGGATAATTGCTTGAGCCCAGGAGTTTGAGTCCAGCCTGGCCAACTTAGTGAGACCCTGTCTCTATGAAAAAGAAAAAGTGAGCCAGTACTCAGGAGGCTGAGGCAGGAAGATTGCATGCTTAAGAGTTCAAGGTTACAGTGAGCTATTATTGTGCCACTGCACTCCAGCCAGGGTGACGGAGCAAGACCTTGTCTTAAAAACAAGAGGGGGTGGGCAAATTACATGAATAGACACTTCTCAGAAGAAGATATACAAATGGCCAACAAATATATGAAAAAATGCTCAACATCACTAATCATGAGGGAAATGTACATTAAAACCACAATGAGCCGGGTGTGGTGGCTCATGCCTGTAATCCCAGCACTTTGGGAGGCTAAGGTGGGTGGATGATGAAGTCAGGAGATCAAGAGCATCCTAGCTAACACAGTGAAACTCCATCTCTACTAAAAATACAAAAAATTAGCCAAGCGTGGTGGCATGTGCCTGTAGTCCCAGCTACTTGAGAGGCTGAGGAAGGAGAATCTCTTGAACCTGGGAGGTGGAGGTTGCAGTGAGCTGAGATGCGCCATTGTACTCCAACCTGGGTGACAGAGTGAGACCCTGTCTCAAAACAAACAAAAAAAGCTTACCCAGCCAGAAGGGCCACTGTTAAAAAGTCAGAAAACAATATATGTTGGTGTGGATGTGGTGAAAAGGGAGCAGTTATACACTGCAGGTGGGAATGTAAATTAGCACAATCTCTTTGGAAAATTTCTTAAGAATGGAGTATGGAGATTTCTCAGAGAACTAAAAGTACACTTACCATTCCATCTAGCATTTCCACTACTGGGTATCTACCCAAAGGAAAAGAAGTCATTATATTTAAAAAGCAGCTACATGCATATGTTTACTGTAGCTCAATTCACAATTTCAAAGATGTGGCACCAACCTAAGTGCCCATCAAGTGATGAGTAGATAAAGGAGATATATATATATATGTACACACACACACCCATACATACCATGGAATACTACTCGGCCATAAACATTAAAATAATACATTTTGCAACTACTTGGACAGAGCTGGAGGGGAGGCCATTTTTTTAATTTTATTTTTTATTTAAAATTTTTTTTCTTTTTTTTAAAAATAGTGATGGAGTTTTGTCAAGCTGCCTAGGCTTGTCTGAAACTCCCAAGTGATCCGCCCACCTCAGCCTCCCAAAGTGCTGGGATTAGAGGTGTGAGCCACTGCGCCCAGTGGAGGCCATTATTCTAAGTGAAGTAACTCAGGAATGGAAAACCAAATACTGTATATGCTCACTTATAAGTGGGAGCTAAGCTACGGGGACACAAAGTCATACAGAGTGGTAAAATGGAGATTGGAGGCTCAGAATGGAGGGATGGTGGGAGGGCAGTGAGGGATGAAAAACTACATATCAGGTACAATGTACACCACTCAGGTGATGAGTGCACTGAAATCTCAGACTTCACCACTGTACAATTCATCCATGTAACTAACATCCACCTGAACTCCAAAAGCTATTGAAATAAACTACATATATCTAAAAGAAGTGCCCATATTTTATCCTAGATGTAAAATTTTATTTATTTTAGGTTTAGATCTTTAAATCATCTATAACTTATTTGGAGATAAAGAGTGAAGCAGAAATCTAGCTGCTGCTGCTGTTTTTTTTGTTTGAGTCTTGCTCTAGTTGCCCAGGCTGGAGTGATCTCTGCTCACCTCAACCTCTGCCTCCAGGGTTCAAGTGATTCTTCTGTTTCAGCCTCCCAAGTAGCTGGGATTACAGGCATGTGCCACCATGCCTGGCTATTTTTTTGTATTTTCAGTAGAGAGGGTGTTTCTCTATGTTGGTCAGGCTGGTCTTGAACTCCCAACCTCCGTTGATCCACCTGTCTCAGCCTCTTAAAGTGTTGGGATTACAGGCATGAGCCACTGCACCCAGTGAAATCAGCTTCTCTTTAATTCTAAATGGCAAGCCAGTTGTTGTAATAACATGGATGGAATAATCAATTCTTGTTTTTCCAGTAATTTGGAATGTTTAATTCCCAAATATTTTGGGATCTACTTTTGGGTTCTCTATTATAATTTATGTTAATAAAAACAACAATGGCAACATGAAATAAACTCCTTGTGCTGGTTCAGAGTTGTTGTGGTGGCAGAGGGAAGGCAGGGTGAGACAGGCAAGGTGTCAGAGCCCCAGCACTGGGAAGTGGTCAATTCACGGGTTGGTAAAAAGAACTTACCTTTGGGAGGCCAAGGCAGGTGGGTCACTTGAGGTCAGGAGTTCAAGACCAGCCATACAAATATGGCAAAACCCCTATCTTTAGTAAAAATACAAAAATTCGCCGGGCATTGTAGTGCACACCTGTAATCCCAGCTGGGAGATTGAAGCAGGAGAATTGCTTGAACCCAGGAGGCAGGCAGAGGCTGCAGTAAGCCGAAAAAGTGCCACTACACTCCAACCTGGGCAACAGTGAGACTGTGTTTAAAAGGAAAAAAAAAATTACTGATAACAGTATAGGTTTAAAAAAGGAAAGTTTCACTAGAAAGAAAGCTGCGGAAGAGTGAGGCTGGCGCCTCAGTGAGAGGACTGAGCATGCCATGGTGGATTTTTCTTTGGAGCATTTATGGACCTTAAGGTGGGAGCTTAAGGGTAATTTGGACCACATTAGCCACACAGGTCATAATAAATAATTACATTTGTAGACATTTTGGTGCCTTAATGTCAGCAAGGGTTGCACAATGAGTTTCGGCATGGCATTCCAGAGAGGTCTAGAAATTCTAGTGACCTATAAATTTTTTGGGAGAAAGAAATATGGAACCAGATGCCTGCTTTAGATACTAGGGAAGTCTAATTACTTTTAATTTCTCCAGATAAGGAGTGTTTGGCAGGCCTCCTGTGGCCTGTTTGATAGTCACCAATTTGTTCCCTTCGAAATTCCTCAGATTAAGAAGTTTTTGTCTCTGGGGTCTGTTCAGTGGTCACCAGGTGATTTTGCTCTCCTCAGGGGTGAAGTTGACTTTGCTCACATTTCCTTCTCTGCAGACCCTAGCAGTGTTGAAAGAAAGAGAAGGCTATGGAAGGTAATTTTTAAAGCCTCTATCTCAGTCTCTGACTTTCTAAAAAACCGCATGATTCTTTCAACCTAAATAACAATCAGAGAGAAAGCCTCTCTGAAAGAAAATGTTTATTTGGGAATAGGGCATTGTATTGGAATTATGTGTACCATAGTAAACTACGTGCATGTTCAGGGAGGTAAAGGAAGCCAAAGGTGTTTAAAGGAAAAAATGAGAAAGATTACATAGTTGTCAAATAATTATCCTTGCCTACAGAGTTCAATAACAGGGATAATAACAGTCTGAGGTTGGACAGGCATTACTGGAAAGATGTCTTGCTCTGTTGCCCAGGCTGGAGTGCAGTGGTGTGATCTCAGCTCACGGCAACCTCTGCCTTCTGGGATCAAGCAATTCTCCTGCATCAACCTCCTGAGTAGCTGGGATTACAGTTGTCCACCACCATGCCAGGCTGTAGAGATGGGGTTTCACCATGTTGGCCAGGCTGGTCTCGAACTACTGGCCTCCTGTAATCTGCCTGCAGCAGCCTAC